ATGTGGACGTCAAGGTGGGAAGGGCCGCTTTGATTCGGTCGTGCGGGCTCTGTCGTAGTGCGAGCGAGATTTGAGCCGAGCGATTCCGAGCCGGACTAGGAATGCCCGGACCCTGATCCGCTTTGTTTGTCTCCCGTCCGGCCTCAGGGTTACCTGGCATACGTCCACAGCCTGCCCATCAACGATACCCCGGAGATCTTTGGCCTCCACGACAACGCCAACATCAGCTTTGCTCAGAATGAGACGTTTGCTCTGCTGGGATCGGTGTTGCGCCTCCAGCCTCGAACGGCATCCGCCGGAGGCAAGACCCTGGAGGAGGTATTCTTTTCCCTCCCTAACAGCCGCTTGCTTTGCCGTCAACGGCGAAGCAAGCAGTCGAGCGTGCGTGACGGTGACCGAGCTCCTTCCGTCCCGCAGATCGTGGAGGAGATAGTGGCGGGCATCGTGGTCAAGGTCCCGCAGCCTTTTGACATTCAGGAGGTGGTGGAAAAGTACCCCGTGCTCTATGAAGAGTCCATGAACACGGTGCTCATGCAGGAGGTCATCAGGTAGCGGCGGTCATTTTGCAACGCCATTGCTTCCGCCCGGCCGTTGCTTCGGCATCAGACCTCATTCGAAGTGTATCGTTTCACATAGGTGACTTGCATGTTGCCGCCGCCACTCAAAGTAGCCCACCGTGCAATTCTTGGGGAAAAAAAAACCCTCACGGTTAACTTTCCCCAAGCTTGTGAGACGCAAATACTTCTAGGGAAATCGGAATGGTCAGAAGATTCTTCACCACAACACGAAACATTGATGATACACATTTTTGCCTAACTCAAATTATCTTCAAAATGAGGATAGTTCGTTATTATTATTATGCGATATCTGGGCGGAAACTTTGGGATCTCTTGACACCTTCCGGGACCTGAAAACGAAAGAAAAACAAAGCAGTGGGGCCACCCACTTGTTTCGATTGTGCACTGCTGCTCAAAGCTCTGGCCCAGGCCCAAATTGTTCATGACACAAACACCTAGCTTCGACATATCCTTCTGTTATACAAGTCCAAACCTTTACTCGTGTCTTTATCCTGATAATGATGATGCTTCAGCCCACCCGTGGAAAGGATACGTTGAATAGAAAGTGGCCGCAATGATTTAGTACAAGCACCTTTGACATATGGCGGGCGTCGGGAAGAGTCCTCGTGGCTCTGAAAATCATCACCCCAAACTATTTTTCAATCCAATAATAACCGAAAGCTCAATAACTCCAGCAGTTCAGGGTCAACTCTTGTCACAGACGGACCCAGTCAACGCTCCTTGCATCTTATCTGCCTTTCAGATACAACAATTTGCTGGAGGTCATCGCTCAGAGTCTCTGCGATATTGTGAAGGCTCTGAAAGGTTTAGTGGTGATGTCTTCGGAACTGGAGCTGATGGCCAACAGCCTGTTTAACAACGGCGTGCCTGATATGTGGAAGGCCAAGGCAAGGCGCACGCACGCACACACACCCACCTCATTTACAAGCCGTCTGATCCTCACAAAGATATGAGGCTCCAAAGGTCACATTGCACAGATTGCGTAACTTGTTTGATACCCTCTTGATGAAATGTCTCTTGATTGGATTTTTTTTTTTTTTTTAATATACTTCAAAACATTTTAGTGTTCTGAAAAAAAAAAGCAATGCCTGAGTGCAACACAATACAATCACTTTTGGAGCTTGCTCTGATTATTACCATAGTGTAACAATCCAAAGTTACTTCCGCAAAAAAAAAAAGGGCCAAGCCCAAGAGTCATCTTAGTCCTTAAACGGGAAACTCGGTCTACGCTCTTTTGTTTTAGTTGTGTCTGTTGCTCGACGGGCATCTCGGCAGTGCTCGTGCAGGAAATGATTCAGTGGGTGGTTCTCATTTCTGCCTCCTTCTTATTTCTTCATTTGGCCTTGGTCGTCTCTGTAGGATGTTTAAGACAAATGAGACCTCTTGCCATCTTTGTCGTTATTTCATGGATACGACGTGTATCGCAGCTGTAAACCGTACACAACTGTAATTTCTGTGTCTTGATGTCACTGCAGTAGAGTTGATGTGTCAGAGGAAGGTTACCAGCCTTTTTGAAAAGGACAGCTATCTCACGCGCCTGACTAATGTGCACTTCTGAACTAGCAAATTGCTCTATTTTCATGAAATTTATCAATGTGAAGACATTGATCACATCAAAAGCTTTACACAATTATCATCAACCAGTTTGGAAGTAAAAACTAACCTGGCATGAGTCAGATTGATACATGAATCACTCCAAGCAGGTCTCCAGAGCATTGGTCCCCAACCACCGGTCCGCGGACCGGTAACCAGGCCCATTTGGGCTGCACAGAGACAGACCCACGATCTGCGAGCAAATGTTCTCCATCAGACGTGCAGCAAATGTGCTCGACTCTCTAGCCAATCGGTGCCCCTTCTAACATTGGGTTGTTTAAAAATAAACAGAATCGGCCAATCAATCAACGAAGCAGTAGACGGGAAGTAATCGGAACAAATTGAGCAAAGGTCCAGCTTTATCGGCGCGGCTGCTGTGCAGCCATGACGACCGAAGCTGAAGCGATTGGGACAAGAGAAGGTCCTCCCCTCGCGCCGCGGAGGACCAATCACTGCTGAGTTCTTTTTTTGGAAGAGGCCCACAGGCCACTACTCACGTAGGCACCACGTTGTTTTGCACTGCCTGAGAATATGAACATTTGTGCGCATTATTATTTCTCGATGTAGTACCAAGTACAGCCACCGGACACTTTTGTGGCCCAAATGCACGAAAATTAAAAGTGCAATTTTCATCTCTCCATCATTACTGTATCAAACGACACATCCCCCCCCCGAAAAGAACTGGTGACGGTTGGCGTGTGTCGTGTATTCCACCATTTCCCCATCGTGTGGAGTTCTTGACAAGATGCACTTCCTCCGAGAGGGAACAGCAACCGGGCCGCGGCGGGAGCGGCCAATCCCGGCCGTTAGACCGCTACAGACGGTGTTTTGCGTGTCCCCGCAGGCCTACCCGTCGCTGAAGCCTCTGGCCTCCTGGGTGTCGGACCTGCTGCAGAGGATCCGCTTCCTTCAAGGATGGATCGCAAAGGGCATTCCACCCGTGTTCTGGATTAGCGGCTTCTACTTCCCTCAAGCCTTTCTGACCGGAACCCTACAGAACTATGCCCGGCGCTTCGGCATCTCCATCGACACCATCGGATTTGACTTCCAGGTCAGACCCGTAGCCGTGGGTTTCATGTCTCCGCGCAATTACGCTCACGTCGGCTCAGTTGTTTAACGCGATGATTCGTTTCTTTCCGCCGAGTCGCTTGCATTTGGTCGGTTTCTTTTCGCCTGTCCCGCAGCTCTTTTTGCAAGCCTTCTGATCGGGGTTTGTCTGGCCCAGGTTGTGCTGAGAGCCGTGTGCGATATCGACGAGAAGCCAGACACGGGCTGCTACATCAACGGCTTATTCATCGAGGGCGCTCGCTGGGATAATGATGCCGCTCGCCTCACGGAGTCCAGGGCCAAGGAGCTCTACACAGAAATGGCCGCCATCTGGCTCATCCCCACTCCCAACCGTAAAGCTCCCACCGCCGGCATCTACATCTGCCCCATTTACAAGACCCTCACGCGAGCCGGTCAGTATCTGAACACGCGCGCGGCGCCGCCATCAAGTGGGCTTAAACCAGCGCGCGCATGCGGCTCAGGTCGTACGAGCTTGTGCTGCGGCTCCGTTACTCACACCAAAATAGACAGACGTCAGAGCGCGGCTCACGTTTCGTGACCTAGGAAGTGCAGCTCCGTGTTTTCCAGCCGCACCACAAGGGCCGGTACACCGATCTGTGCCGACACTGAAGTGCCCGTGTGTCATTGCAGGGACTCTTTCGACTACCGGCCACTCTACCAACTACGTGATTGCAGTCGAGCTGCCCACAGATCTCACCCCTGGACACTGGATCAAACGGGGAGTGGCCCTCATTTGCGCTTTGGACTATTAAAAAAAAAAAAAAAAAAAAAACGCCCTCTGAGTCGTCAATGTACAGTTTGATAGTAAACATGACACAATATTACACAAAAGTTCCCCCCCAAAGTGTATCATTAGATTTGATTGAGACTCTGGATAAATGTGGAGACGGCAAGTCATTTTCACCGTTTGAATAACACTGTTACCGACGCCACTGTCCACTCGTGAGCGGCCTCATGGCACCTCCCATGTGTTGGTCATCGGGCAAGAATAAGGACGTTGCCTGCTCACAGCCAAAACAAACACGGAAATGGAATGTGCCGGCATCGGCGGAAGTCTGCGCTCCACTTTGAGACGTTATTACAGAGCTGCTAAGATATATAGCCTCGACTGCACGGAGTGCTCATTTACTAAATGTGTGAATTTGATGGGGCCCCGAGCATCCATCTGAGTGGGGCGGGGGACGGCGGCGTTGATGAATGAGGCATCAAATGCACTCCGCTGGTTATGAGTGAATGTCAGATATGCCACCGCTTGAGTGAAGTGGAAAAAGAAAAAGAAAGTCGAGCTGCCGTCGCTGATGTGCCTTCAGACATTTATTGAGTGGGCAAAAACAGCCAAGCCCACAATCAACATGAAAACGCTTGCAGTGAGCATGGAGGAGAGACCAACACTGACCGAAGCACGCGGCAATAGGCGTCACTCACTAGACCCTCCACCAAAAAGTCACAGCATGTATGGTTATGATAACACCTTCTAAAAAAAGATTTTATTTCCTCAGTCAATTCGTGAGTTTTGATGCTTGCATATGTTAAAATCGCCATATTCTCCCGCAATAAAAATAGGCAACCAAAATGTGATTGTGGGGTTCCCGAATGCACACATGGCATTTCAATTGATTTCAATGGAAGACGTTCGCAAGTGCACAATCTTGCCAAGCTGCGACGACTAGTCGCAGCTTGAAAGAAGCAAGTCGGCGTCGGCAACATTTGACAAGCTCCCGCCCCTTTAAATTCAAGCAGCCGCTGGGGTCGACTCGGAAAATGAGGTCAGTCGGTGGAAGGAGGGCGGGGCTTGCCTTCGCGCCTGCCCGCCAGCTTCCACTTCCACACAGTGTGGCCCGTGGGAGATCTAGCCCGACTCGTCACTGGCTTGCTGTCAGCGCACCTGCCGGAATGTTGGAGGAAAACGAGTAAGTCCTCAGAGGGTTTGCGAGTTTTGGATTAAAAAAAAAAAAGTATGATTTTTTTTTTTTTTTCAAGCAGGCTTTGACAGGGAATGAGTCGCTGAAGTTTTTGGAGCGGCGTACAGGACAGGCGGCCGCGTCGACTTGACGCATTTACCGGACAGCCGACGGTGTCATCGCGTCCTCTGGCGATTCATTCC